CCCTATCACAAGGACAACCCATCACTTACTATCATTCATTTCATTTATGTGATCAAATTTTAGCTTCTTCAATATTCTCAAAAGCTCATGCATGATCAACGTTAACCAACCATAATATGAAGAACACCCCACACTAATATATATATATGTATATATAATAACATTATTCAGAAAAGAAAGAGTGGAGATATTACTAACGTTTCTACGTTTCGTCATGAGGAACTCCATCTGCAACACAGATAACATGTAAATGGTTCGGATCAGACACAGCTGTGTTTGTCTGTGCCTTCGTGGCTTTGTGTATATATATATATATATATAGAAATTAAAAGACATGCCTGATGGTCTCTGACTTTGTCGAGGCCATTCTGGACTGCGTGCTCTATGGCCATGAGGCTTTTGATGTCCAGGGACTGGATGTCTTCCCCTTTCAAGTGCCTGCGTCAGTCATAGATATGTGGGTGTGGGTGTATGTATGCATATATATATATATTTGAGCATGGTTATATACATCAATAGTTAAAACATGTTTCAAGAATCCGAGATGATTTCATAAGATCACCGTATATATACACACACACACACATATGAGAATGCATCATACAAATAACGCAAACGCACGCCCGAGCACGCGCGCGCGCACACACACACTGATACGCACACATACACATATATGTGTGTATAGAAGATATATATACCTGAGCTCCATTTGTAGGCTATCATTCTCCTTCTTGATCCTGTCAATCTCATTGCTGAGGCTCTGGAGACGAAGCCAGCATGGATAAACACATGACCCAGAAAAATTATAAACATAATCCAAGCATATATATATATATATAGCAGAAGCAGATTGAGGATAGCCGAAGAAACACAACTTGGAATTCATGGTAGGAAGATCTGCATACATAGTTTCTTTCTGTTATATGTTGGGTAAATTCTCACACCCTTATCAATAAAACCTTACCTTGGAAATAGATCTTAGATCATCATCATGATTCATGCCATATTTTTGTAATCCAAATGGGATGCAGTAATTGCAAACACACACAGGAAATTCTAGTAGATCTAAGTGACAAGACATAAAACCCTAGAATCTCGATACTTTGAGACATCTTATCAACTTCTATTACAAACACATATATGTAATATATATATATACGTACATATTTTTTTTTTCATTTTTTTTACACTTTTCCTCCCAGATCTATACTCAAGAATAAGATCAATCATAGATCTCGTATATTCCGAGAATGATCTCACCGACCAAACGGCAACAAATGAATTTTTTCATGTTTTGCTGCTATAATTTGAGATGTATGTCATTCTATGCACACCTAGACATATAATATAAACAAAAATATATATTTCAAACAGTTGCAGATATGAAAAAGAATAATTTCCATTGTTTCGTGTTTCAATGTCTTGTTCAGTGTAAGAATCAATAAAGAAAAGGACATTGGAAGAGGGCTTGGAGGGCTATGAACAACCAAACCTATGTATGTTTAGATCTGAATCTAGGGTTCCTAGTTTTCAAGGTCCTTGACATGTTTATTTTTTTTGCACGAAAAAGAGGGGAAAAACAAACCATGAGAATTCATTTGATTTAAACAAAAAAAAAAAAAAAGGAAGGAAAAAATTGTACCTCATGCTTAGCATCCCACAATTTCGTGCTGGCGATCCTTTGATACTGCTCCAACATATCACCAAGATCCATTGAAGGAGAGCAAAAGTCATGCATCTTACCATTACTTGCAAAAATGATGAGAGACACTTTTGCATCACAAAGAACGGTGATCTCTTTTGCCTTCTTCATCATCCCACTTCTCCTCTTTGTAAACGTCACAAGCCTGTTGTTTGCATTCTCTATCCTCTTTATCTCTATCTTTCCTCTCCCCATCTCTCTCCCTCTCTCTCTCTCCACAATTTAGGGTTTTGTCAATTCTCTCTGTTTGTCCTTGCAAAGATGTATGGAGGAAGATCTGAATATGAAGAAGATAAAGCATCGAGGACCATTGGTGAAAGAGAAGGCCACTATTGGTTAAGATCGAGGCTGTGACAATTTGGGTTGGAGTACAAAGCCACTTTCTTGATAGCACAGTAATGGAAGGCTTGTTTTTGTTTTCGTTCTTTGTCATAGCAACCCAATTATCTTCTTTTTACAATACATATGTATGTATGTATGTATGTATGTATGTATGTATGTATGTATGTATGTATGGTGTGTGTTTATGCATTGATTGTACTCGTGCATGTGATGTTACTTTGATTTGATCTTTATCCCTCTTAGTAGTTTTAACCATTGGTCTCTTTGACAAATTTCGCATTGCTTGAAACTATTGATATAACTTTAAAGCTGAGTTTAAAGCGTTTAAAACATATGTTTTATTGGATATTTTTAAAATTCATTATGTGTACATGAAATAAATATTAGACTAAGAATCAATTTATCTACGACAAATGTCAATGAAATGAAGCTTCTCTGATCAATTGAGAAGTTGGCTCCGTAACTATGAAGTTGCAAGTGGTGAAACCTCCTAAGTTTAACAATTTTCCTTAATTATACAAAAGCAAGAAAAGGATAAAATAAATAAATAAAAATCTTTAATGTGTTGTTTACGGTAAATTTTAACTTCAAGACTATACCGCTTCTTGCACTTAATATTACAACATTCAATGGTAAATATTGGTGGACATTTCACGTTGGTTATTTTTTCGATTAGATTATTTGGGTTTTGTAAAACTAAACTGGTTTTGTTTCGATTCTCGTTTCGTTTTTAATTCTGTTTTTATTAAAAAAAATATTATTTATTTTTTAAAAGATTTTGGCTTCGTTTAATTTTCTAGTTATTCTCGTATTTGATTTAATTTTATTTTGATTAATTTGATTTCAATAAAATAACCTCTAACTGACTTTAGTTCTAATTCAACTCGAATATATATGTTGTTATATAAGATATAATTCTAATACTACATCGAATTTAAAATTCCAATATATTTGAAAGAAAAAGTTGGTCCAAAAATTAAGATTTGCAAAGTATTTTTCTTTCTCTAAGATATAAATGAATAATATATTTGGGGAGTCTAGGTTTCCGTAAACATTGTTAGGGGAAGCAAACACTCGCTACTTGAGAGGCCTATGCTCAACCACAGGTCATATCAAACTCTATATTATAATTAGTATAAAATTTTAAATGGACAGCTATACAAAAATGGTAATTTCATTTCCCTTTTCCTCTAGTTTCAATAAAATTTTAGATGAATGAAAATAAGAAGAAGAAAAATATAGAATGAAGGGTACATTTTCCAAAGAGGAAGTCGTTAATAACCATTGAATTTTAAGTTGAAATTTGATCGGTCAAAGTAAACATATTGGATTTTGATAGTGTTTGTATTTTGATTATTTTATATTCAATATTTTGCTTTATAAATATTATATTCATTTATATTCTATATGAATTTTAATTTGATTTTAATATAGTTTTTATTAAAACATTTAGCTAGAAAATGATATTTTTTAGTTATTTTCTTATTTAATAAATAAATTTTTTTAAATTTTTTATATAATTAGTTTATTTTGAAACTATAGTTAATGACCCATTTCAATGTATTTATATATTATCAGTTTCTTTACTTTGGACAGTGGTTGGTTGGTTTTATTCATTGGTCCCCCAAGGAAAAGATTTGACACACATCAAGTGGACACGTGCCCGAATCCAGGGGCATCTTGATCTGGTGGTCTGAAGCAGCAGCATGTGCGCCTTGAATCTTGATGGAGCCAACTCTCTCATATGTGGGTTGATATCCAGTTGCACAAATTTTAAATAAATAGATAGATTATAAATATATATATATATATATATATATATATATAAATAAATAAAAATGAATCATACCAATAACAATTGTGCTCTCTCTTTTTTTTTTTTGGTAAAAATTAATTGTGCTTTCTTGTTTAGAAAATGGGCACCTATCCTTTTTTTTTTCATTTCTTCTTGAAAATTGTTGCTCACCAATATTCCACCAAGATAATATGGCAGTCATATACGAGGATTTGAACCCAAAACTCGGATAGAGAACTATGTAGATGGGGGCTTCGAGATACGTTTGTAAAAAAAAAAAAATGGGTATTCAATTGTTTTAATAATGGGATTGGATTTTAAAATTTTAGATCTCCGAATTTAGATATCAAATTAAAATTTTAATAAGTAACCTTGGTTTAGATATCTCCGAATTTCGAACCTTATCATTTAGTTTAATTTTTACATTCGACTTTTTTCTCACCCTACCTCATTTTATCATCACACTCGCCGTCACCCATAACCTCTTGTTGTCTCACCTATGGGTGAGTAAAATTACCCGAATTTCGGGTATCCATCCCGATTCGACAGTCGGATATCCGAATTTCGGGTATCCACGGTATAACGAGATAGAGATCGGATTTTGATATGTTTAAAACCCGAAATTCGGGTTCAGATTCGAGTTTGCATTTTCTGATCGGATAATTACCCTCGGGTACCCGAATAGTTCAAAAATAAATAATATACTTTTAAATTACTACAAAATTACAAATATATCTATTAATACTTAATTGTTTTATATTTATTTATATTAAAAATATCCTTTTGTAATTATTTATTTTTAGTATAAATATTTACATTAATTTTATAATTTATTGTATAAAATATATAAATTTAAGAGTTTTGATTAAAAATTATTTAAATTCGTCGGATTCGGGTACTCGCGGGTACCCGAAAATTATCTCACGGTTTAGGTTGGTTCGGATACTCGAGATTCGGGTTCAAATTTGGGTTTCAAAATGAATAACTCGTCGGGTTCGGGTACCCTAAAAATCTCAGGTACCCGACCTGTGCCCACCCTTAGTCTCACCATTACTAAATACAATATTCAAGACCATCTCAATGTGACAGTCCAGGATACCGTAGGAGGACGGAGAGTGATCGCCGGTACGAGAGGCACAGACAAGGAGGCAAAAGTGCGACGGAAAAAATCTGCGTTTTGCGACGGAAAATGATGGATAATTCCGTCGCAATTTACGGAATTTTTTCCGTCGCATTCCGTCGCAAATGTTTTAAAAAATTTAAAAAAAATATAACAAAATTATATACTATATATACACATACATTGTTGGTTTAGTGCTCTATGATGTACTGATTATGAGCTTTGTTCAGATACATTCGATGTATTGATACTTTCTATGTGATTTTATGAGAGTATTCTATTCATTACATGTTCTTGCATGCTAGATCTGTTATGAAATCCATGTATCATTAGGGATGATACTAAACTCCCTAGTCTTGTGTCGTTATGGGAATAACGACATAATAAGACTAGTATGATGTGTGATTGATGATCACATAGATGATCATAAGTATTGGATACGATCACAATCATAGGTATTCGTTGGAGAACGGAATACTGGATTGACCCACATGAGATTGTCACATGGACTAGCGTCATGACTTGAATCTCATATGACGGTTCCATGATTGGATCCTAAGACCTGAGATATCTACGGAATCCAACATGAGGAGTTGCGTGCTTTGATTACGTCAAACGTCCTGCGTAACAGGAGGACTATAAAGGCGTATATCAGGTACGAAACGAATCATGTACTCGATTGTAGATAGTCAAGACGGGATTTGTACCTCTCATAAAAGAGAGAGATATCACTGGGCCCCTCGTGTGAGCGAGACTGTAGAAATGTGTGGCCGCACTATAGACGAACGTCGTCTATTTCAGACAGTCGAACTCAGCGAACGAGAAAGCAGTCGAATCAGATAAGGTGGCTTGTCCATGCCTTATATTCGACATATGATATCGTGATACAAAACGATCATCAACCGGAATCATCTCTGGCGTTCATAAAGATCACGAACAAACTCTATTCGAGATAGGTAGTCATAGTGTCTTGCTAGAGACCGCCTATGACTTGTATACCCGAAATAGGGATTTCAGGTTATACTGCTATGTCGAATGAGCCTACAGGGTCACACACGCAGGGAAGGACAAATGCACGAGAAAACGTCGAGAAATCTGGACAAGAGGTCCGGACCGTTCGGTCTAGGAGTGGACCGAACGGACCGGAGCATCTAGTCCGAACAGACCAAGTTGTTGAACCGAACGGACTAGAGAGTTCAGTCCGAACGGACCAAGTGTTCTCCCACTCAATCAAGCATATCCAATATCTTGATCAAGTTACATGCATTCATTCACTATGGACCATCCATAAGAACAAATCATGTCTATTTGAGTTACAGTTGATCATATTAAGCAACGGTTGCGTAATCAGATCTAGAAAACGAAAAATTTCGGAATCTGGACTTCGGACCGTCCGTTCCAGGTGTGGAACGGACGGTCTACGTTTGAGAACGGACGGACCAGCCTTGGAGAATAGACTGGAACGGACAGTCCATAAGAGTAGAACGGACGGTCCGCAAATTAACGTGGAACGGACGTTCCATGAGCTGGAACGGACGTTCTGACATTCAGAACGTCCGGTCCAGGTTCGCGGTCCGATTTCTTCCGTTCTGCCCAGGGATTGTCCGTCACCCCTGGACCGTCCGGTCTGGCTTACCCAGAACGGACGGTCTAGGGTCCTTCAACGTGATCAGATCACGTTCCGCAGTGTTCTCAGCCCTGATCAGACCCGAAACTGATCCGAATTCTTCTGTGAACCCAAAATTCGAACTTCTGCACTCTATGCAACATGAAACATGCAATCTACACTAGATTCAATCATCAAACATGCATAGATTTCAATGCAAACATGGATTCAAACAATTCAAATCCTAAAACGTGCGTGATCGGGTTCTACGAAATCAAAATAGAGTAACCAGGCTCTGATACCACTGTTGGGTTTCCTGGGATCTCATGAGCGAATCCTATTCCTAAGAGATCGGTTCTAGGGTTTGCGCAGCGGATGTAAAACAAAAATTATAGAACCCTAGAACCATGCTGCTATTGAAATCGTAGAAACGTTAAGAACGCTTACCTCAATCGATCCGGGGCCTGTCTCTATCGATGAATCGTTCTGATCACGATCTGACATTCAGAACGTCCGGTCCCGGTTCGCGGTCCGATTTCTTCCGTTCT